TCCCTTTTTTCCTGGCTCTCTTTTCAGCTCCAAGTGACACCTGTGCAGCAAAGCATGCGTCCCCTACCATTTGTTCTCTCTGCCAGGGCACATACTAGTACTTGGCAGGTATCCTATGTCCCAAGCACAGCTTTCAGTAAAGGCTCCTTCCCCCTTGATTGCAAATGTCTAGGCTCCTGAGGTGGCATAAGAGCAAACATCAACACTGGCCCTGCCTCGAGTGCCACAGGAGGACTGGGGGCTCCAGGCTACACTCAAAGCACTCTCCTTAAACCCATGTCCACTTACCTGTCACCACAAAAGCCCCCAGAATGTCCAGGATGGCCTCCGCCTAGCTGCTTCTCTCAGCCTCTGATCCACCTGCAGGAAGACTGTGCAGGGCCAGCTCAACTTCTGGAGACCAGACCTTGGACGCTACCTCATTGGCTGGCTCCTGGACATTTGTTTGTTTTGTTTGTCTTATTGGATGTCCTGGTGTGATATTGGATCACAAAACCATACAGGTTTCAAGTGTAAACTCAACAAAACATCATCTGCACCCTGTTGGGTGCCCATCACCCCAAGCAAAGTCTCTTTCTATCCCCATTGATCCCATGTAGCCCATCTCGACCTATCCTCACCTCCCTTTTCCTGAGGCTATCACCATACTGTTGTCTGTGTCTGGGCGTAATCTCTTCACCTTCTTTCATCCAGCCGCCCAACCCTCCTCCTCTCCAACAGCTGTCAAGCTATTACATGTATCCATGCCTCTGGCTCTGTTTCTTTGCCAGTTCTGTTTCTATTCCTTCAGTTTCACATATAAGTGAGATCATATGGTATTTGCATTTCTCTGACTGGCCCCAACCCCGTCAGACCAGCAGGACAGAAATGACAACTGGTTCAGGACTCATGCCAGCCCCTGGAGAAATCCTAGAATAGGCAGCTCCCACGTATTAATAACCTGCACACATTGGAATTGTGCAGTCTCGCCAATTCTCATCAAGCCACTGGATTTATCATACAGAAATATGTTCTCGTTTTGACCACCAAGTGACCGACTGCATGTACAGGGTTTAAATCAAAGATATATACAGGACATTAAACTTGTACCAAAGAAACAGTTAACTTGGATACAAGGTCACAGTCAGCAATCAGGTCTACCATCCAATGCTGAGATCAGATACAAGCTTTCAGGACAATTTATTTTCAAAGGTTTATCCCAGTTTCACCAGGCCAGCATGCAGTACACACATTTGCCAGGTGTATACATCAAACTCAGACTTGGTCAGCTCACGCAGCAAATGCTACTGGTCTGCCGGCAGCACATTTAGAAGCATTTGCAGAGGATGATGGAGGGGCCTAAGTGGTCATGCCCCTGCTTGCTGATGCACATCTGCTGAAGGTGGACAACAAGGCCATGATGGAGCCACCAGTCCATATCCAGAACTTGCACTCTGGCTGTGGCCATGGCCTGCTGGAAGTCCCAGGCAACATAGCACAGCTTCTCCCTGATGTCACACACGATTTCCTGTTCACGGTGGTGGTGAAGCTGCGCTCCTGGGGATCTTTATGAAGTCGTGGGTCAGGTTCTGGCCAGCCAGGTCCAGACACAGGATGGCGTGGGGCAGGGTGTAGCCCTCATAGCTGGGCACAGTGTGGGTGGCCCTATACCAAGAGTCCATAACAATACCAGTGGTGTGGCCAGAGGCACACAGGAACAGCACAGCCTGGCTGGCTACGTACATGGTCCAGATGTTGAACGTCTTGAACATAATCTGAGTCGTCTTCTCATGGTTGGCCTTGGGATTCAGGAGGGGCTCGATCAGCAGCACCGAATGCTTCTTGGGGGACACATGCACCTTGTAGAGCAGTGATTCTTAACCTTCTGACCCTTTAAATACAGTTCCTCATGTTGTGACCCAACCATAAAATTATTTTCGTTGCTACTTCATAACTGTAATGTTGCTACTGTTATGAATCGTAATGTAAATATCTGATATGCAGGATGGTCTTAGGTGACCCCTGTGAAAGGGTTGTTTGTCCGCCAAAGGGGTTGCGACCCACAGGTTGAGAACCACTGCACTCAATAGACCATAAAAAGGGTACCTATTTACAGTTTGAGGGCTGAAAGGAGGAGGCAGAGAGCCACCTTGTTCAACTTCAGTTGGGAACACACTTTTTCAAAATGCTGACACGCCGAGTTCAAAAGGTTCGCTCTAGTACTTTAGAATTTCTAAACGTGCCCCTAAATGTTCATCTAGTTATAAATGTAATAATAAGAAAAATGGCCCATACCTTTCTAAATTGGGGAACGTATTTCTCATATAGGTTCTTTTCTATGTAAAAAGATATATACATATATATTTTTAACTCCTTATCAGTAAAACAATATTGATATTTAGAATAATAGAAAAACCAAGTCAGTACCAGTATTATTTTGCAACACCATTCTGGAAATTTTGAATGATATAGTATGAAAATGAACAAGTAAAACAACCTGTAATTTAAAAAGACACATTATTATTTATGAAAGATTATATGGGTTTTTTTATATTTGTAAAATGGGGAAAAATTTAATATAAACCCAATGCATTCAATTTTAGTAGTCTCACCTCAAGAGGGATTGAGGTTAGCACTAGGCCAATTGCTCACATCACTCTGAGTTCTAGACTCCAAGTCAATTAAAAAAGAGACACGAGGCCACATATACATTAAAATATAAATGCTGGCTTATATCTGAAGATGTGTGGAAGTTTCTCCTTGAATTCACAGTCTAAGCAGCCTCCATCTAGAAAGTGGCCTCCACCCACTGTTTTCACCACCCTCATAGGCTGACCACATGGAGGAGGAAAGAACTCTTATCTTAGATAAGAGAGCAGGCAGGTCTTAAAACCACTCCTGAGCTCTCACCAATTTTCCATCATCTGGTGGAAGAAGAGAAATTGAGAGGGGAAGAGAGAGAGAGATAACTGAGGCAATTAGAGAAGCTGAAAGTAATAGCCTAACACTTCTCCCTCTTGGGAAATGTAACATGGAAAATGGAGTTGGGGCGATAAGGGTCTACTCCAAATCCCCCCTGTTTTCTGCAGAACTCTACCTATGTGTGGTCACTCTATAAGGAATGCTGGCAGTTTGGGAAAATTCTCCCCACTGAGAAATATCTACCGTGTCTTTACTCAAGGTTGGTATTGTGAAGTAAGGGTTTTGGGATCCAACAAACCTTGTATAATGGATTGAAATGGTCACAAATTACTAGAGGTGTTTCTAGTTAAGAAGTGGGGGGTCTAGATCTCCTGTCCTTTTCTTTTTGGACTGGGCCTGTGACTCCCTCTTGACCAACAAAATATGGCAAAATAAGACTATGCAATCTCTGAGGCTACCTCATAAGTCTCTTGGAATTTTCACTCTGGGGTTAGCCAGTTGCATATAGGAAGTCTGACCAGAGAGAGAGAGAGCAGTGAGAGATCCCAGACGTTCCTGGAGGTGATGGTCACCTTTTTTCAGACATCACACATGTAAATGAGAAAGCAATGTTGGACATGTCCGATCTGGTATGTAGGAAGAAATGAAGAACTCAACAGCCAGCCAGAACAAAGGCCCGAAATATCTGGCCCAATGAAACTGTCCTAGACATCTTGACGTTTCAAGCCACCCCAGTGGAGGCCTCAATTATTATGAAAATGCAACAAATTGTCTCCTTTCCTAAAATAGAAGCATGTCATCCTAAAATAGAAGCATGACCCAAGACAATTAAAATCTCTGATTTTTTGTTTTTCCATCTTTAAAACGAGAACAAAATACTGGTATCTTCCATATGGCACTGTTGCATCCATTGAATGAAGCAATGCACACAAAGTCCTGAACACAGAACTTGATATGGGACATGCAACAAATTTAACTCTCATATTTCGATAAGCTGTGCCCCTGATAAATGGAAGAGTCATGATGAGAAAGCACCATGACACTGGTAGAATTCATAAATGGAATTCATGCTGAAACCAGAAATGGTCTTGCTGTGGAATTTCAAGGAATTTCCAGATTGCAGCATGCTTTATGGCACCATGGTGATGTTTCAGTCATGCACTTAGCAGTCACCATGGCAATAATCCTATCATACACTTAGCAGTCGGTGACAGCATTATATTCCAGGATGTGTACCTGCCTTCCCACAGGGATAGCATGTTCCTTTCATGGGGAAACAGTGACCCTCATTTATTCTGATGGAAGGAAGAAAAAAAGGGGAAGGTGGAAAACAAGAGGGAAGGAAGGAGAGAGGGAAAGTGGGGAAAGAGGGTTTCCACTAATGAGAGTCATATTCAATTTGGAAAATTCATATTGTTTGTGCATTTAGAACTTGAAAAGTGAAGACCATTTTACTCAGTAATTCTCCTCTGGGAATTTACCCAAAAATAAAGTAGAAAAACCTGTATACAAAGAATATTTATTATAGTTAATGCATTAACAAAAGATCAGAAATTGACTGAGATAGTCCACATAAATAATTTATGTGTAACCTGTTCTGTGGAATAGTGCAATTGTATTAACCATTATACTTATTGAGACTGAGACACAAAGATTAAAAAAATAAAAATTCAGTATCCTTAATAATAAATATAAATATATGAAGTTTTTACACAATCCTTGGAAAGGAATCACA